TCCAAAGAAGAAATAAGCGTTCCGGCTTTCTAAGGTGGCCCAAGGCAGTGATGGGGGTAATTCAGTCCCAACTTTTGGGGCATAAACTGATCATCTGAAGGGATCTCCCATCCCAGACACTCTCCTCCCTCCCATGCCAACATCAGGTAACTAGTCTGGTGCATGATAGAAATTATTCACCTTCCTTTGAAGGAAGAGGCTGTGGCTAAAGAGGAGCCGTAATAGACTTCACAGACTGGTCTGCTCTGACACATAATCCCTGACCAATTCCACCTCTCTCTGTCTGTGAGGCAGCGTGGGATGGGGGAACAGGCAGTGTTGAATCTAGGGAGGGCTCAAATTCTATCTTACCTCTGCTACTGGTTTACTGTGAGACCTCAGGCAAGTCACATCACTTCTCTCTCCCCCACCTCTGTAAAATGGGGATAACTACTCTTCTGCCCAGGTAATTAATGGAGGCTTGTAAGGTCTGGATTATATCTACACCTGTTAACCTCATGTGACCCTCCTGAGTCATCTCTTCCACTCCAGCTATGACCCACAACCCCAGGGGAGCAGGGATGCACTCACGAAGTCAGGGTTGTAGCAGATCCTTGCAAAGGCAAGGCGGAAATCCATCACCTGGTTCTCCAGCATGTCCACTCTCTGTATCTCCTCCTCACTCTCGCCAGCTGGGAGCCAGAAAACACACAGGGGCAGAAAGGCTCAGCAACCATGGTTTAAATCTCAACTAGCCTCTAAGGGCTTGTCTTCACTGGGGGGAACTGACCAGCCCAGCTATTCTGGAATGACCTAGGTCTTCTAGACTAATGGCCCAGCACTTTTACTCTGGACTGGGGACCTATTCCAGAGGAGCTGTTCCAGTCAAGTTCCCCGTGCAGACAAGCCTTCGACTTGCAGCAATACTCACCCATCTTGTGTTTGCGCGCTACGTAGCGGAGGATAGCATTGCTCTGGGTGAGCTTGGTCTGGCCGTCAATGAGATAGGGGAGCTGGGAGGGCAAAGAGAGGATGTCAGGGGATAAGTTCTCCCCACCCATTTATCCTACTCCTGGAGGGCACCGCAGCCACCAAGCTACTTGTGCCTCCTAGTCGGCGGGAGGTCAAAGAGCAGAGCTCAGTGTCTCATGAGCAGGCCCTGCACTTTTTGACTCTGCTTGGGGGAGCAGGTGGACAGCAGGGCCCCAGATTCACTGTTCAGTGCCTAGCATTTAACCTTATAGCCATGCACAACCACCGATCACACTCAGGCTAGGCACGGCCACGTGCTCGCTGCTGCAACGACAGCAAGGCCTGAGTCTCCTGCACCAGCCAAGGGGGCACTGGAGAGCTGGGAGCCCTTCCCCAGCCAACGGCCTGGCTCCACCTCAGAGCCAGCCGTGAAAGCTGCTAGTCTCCAACCACTTCCCTCTCTGACCCTGTCCTCCCCAGCGACACATGGGGAACGGCAAAGGAGGCTGCTACGTACGTTCGGGAAATCCAGCCCCAGCTTATCTTTCTCGTTAGTCCATTGGCTTGTATCATAATCAGGACCTGGAGATAAAGAACAGGATGGTAAGTCCTATGGCATGAACACCTGCCCCCCCACTGCATTTCCCTCACCACCAACCCTCCAATCCCACCCCACTGCATCTCCTAATCAACATCACCTCCCCACCACTGCATCTCCCACCCCACTCCCTACTCACTGCATCTCCCACCCCACTCCCCACACCCACTCACTGCATCCCA